TTTGAAGGTACTCAGCTTGCCTCAGGCTTGAAAAGCTTCTGTACTTGAGTTCTATTTGGTTGGATATGTACAAATGTGTGTGTTGTTTTATTTAGCTGGACATGGACAAAATCAAGGACATCCCAAAACTCTCTCCTCTGGCTGCTGAGAGCACCCGACCATGTGCTCCTGCCTTACCTTGACAGCCATCAGTGCTAGAGCAGCCTAGGGGCTCAGTCCGAGCTCCAGCATGGAAATGGCCTGACCTGGAGCCACATTAAGGATGGAGCCACCAGCTCAGAGTGCGTGTGCTGGAGGAGAGAGCATCCCAAGCTCTGGAAGGTCCTGTGAGGGGCCAGGGCCCCTCTTGCCAATGGCACAGGGGGGCAGTGTGAGGTGGGTGTGTCACCTGACAGAGAGCAGGAAGGCATTGCTCTCTGCTCTTCTCTTCTGTTTCCCACCACGCTTAACAGGCCCAGCTTTGCTGGGGATTTTTCCTCTCCATTTGCCAGCCCTGGAAGCTGCTGCACCCACTCCCTCCTTCACTGGCCTTTTCACATTGGAAGGGTTTTTAAAGGTCCCTCTAAGCAGCAGCTGCTGTGTGGCTTTGTGGGTTTTTTGGTGTTTTTTATGATGGGCTGGAAATTAATTTCTTTTTCACTGGCGTTGGACTATCCATTCCCCACGTCACAGTGCAGAATGAGCTCATAACTCTCTTGTCTGCCTCGTGGCTGAGTTATGGGGTCTTCTGCAGGGTAGCCCAAAGGGTTTAATTTAACAGTGGAATTTGGAGGAAAGCAATGGAGTTCTGACAACTGTCTAGTGCTTTTGCTGTCGGCGCACTTGGAAAATGTTCCTTAATATCTGACTGAAAGGTTTTATGCTTGGGCCTTCTTGTCCTTTCCATAGATGGGGAAAGGTGAATGGTTTTTATTCCCCCTCCCCCTTTCTCTTTTTGTTTGTCTGAAGATTGCAACCATGTCTCCATCCTCTTTAGACTGAGCATCACAAATGCTTTCCACCCCTCCTTGCCAACTGTCTCCTATAGATTTCCAGTCACTGTTGTCTGTCTCCCTTGGAGTGTCTCCAATTGTTCACACCGTCTGGAAGATCAGCATCCCAAACTGGACAACATGTTCCAGCTGAGCCTGTAACAGTGCGAGGGGAACTTGGACTACTTGCACATGACATCCTCTCTGTGCTCTGATCCTGGCTGCCCTTGGCATGATCTTCAACCTCTTTTGGGGCAAGTGGGGTGAAGTGCTTTGGTTGCTGTCTGGGCCTCCTGTGGTGGTCTCCTTGTCACCACACACGGACACTAATAAGGCCATCTGCCATAGGAACCTGTGTCTCGGATCAGGGATGCTCGGGTGAGCTAATGTGAAAGGACAAAAGATGCCTGCTGCTTGCAGGAGCTCGTTAACCCCCCTGCAGATGCTCCTCCATGTACTTTCCTTCATGAGACTATTCACAGGCTGCTTTAATGTGCCTGTTAATGGCGAAATTGGTGGAGTTGTGTCCACTGGATCGCTCTTCTCCTCACAGAACTGTGGAGCAGCCATGGGGAAATAAACAAAGTCCTTGGTTTTTCCTCATCCCTAGCTTTGATTTTTTGTAATTTCCCCTTACAGCCATCAGCAGACTTCATGATTTTTAAAGGCCCAGCTCATTTATTGTCCCCTTAATGAGTAATAACACCTTAAGGGCACTGTCCTATGGCTTTGTCCCTCTCAAAGCAGCACCTAATCCTGTAGTATTTGCTCAGCAGAATGGTCCCTGTTTTTTCTGGACTTGCATGGAGGACATGGTATCCAAGTGCAGTTCAGGAGCTGGGCTCTTGCACCAGGGTGATTATAAACTAATAGAATTTGTTATGTTGGAAAAGACCTCTTAGATCACCAAGTCCAACCGTTAACCCAGCAGTACAAAGCCCCCAAGTGTCTTGTAGACTAAACTGTGTCCCCAGGTGCCACATCCACAGGTTTTTGAACACGTCTAAGGATGGTGATTCCACCACTTTCCTTGTTTGTCTGTTCCAGTGCTTGAGCACCCTTTCAGTGAAGAAATTTCTCCTAATATCCAATTGACACCTCCCTTGGCACAGCTTGAGGCCACTTCCTCTTGTCCCATCATTATTCCCTGAGGGCAGAGCTTGACCCCTACCTGGCCACAGCCTCCTCTTGGGGAATTGTGGAGAGTGAGAAGATCCCCCTCTGGGGCTCTTTTTCTCCAGGTTAAAGAACCCCAGCTCCCTCAGCTGCTCCTCACTGGTCTTGTTCCTCCTTCTTGACTTGAGGGTGTGGAGAGCAAAGCTGAGGAATTGCTTGTGAATCAGGATGGCAAATAAGTCATGAACAAGAGAGAATTTATTATGGTTGCTTGTAGGCCAACCTAGCTGGAGGTGGAAGGGTGAGTGGGTCAAGCCAGCAGCTGGAAAAGCTGAGTAGGAGCCCTGAACCTCCTGAGGGAAGGAGAGACTGAGATCCTTAAGTTGTTCTCCTCCTGCTCTGGACTGGGCATGGATCTGACACACCCTGAAGACCTTACAGCATTCTAGAAGTAGGGATGGAAAGGCAGATGTATTGTGAGGGTCTGGAGTTACAACTCCTCAGGTGATACTTGTGTAACACCTGTCTCAGTGGAAATGACCAGAGAACCTGAGAAATCCCTCTTGTTTCTGAGGAGATCCCCCCCACCCCAACACCATCTGGGTAAGGAAATCAGGATAACTGGCTTGTCTTGCTTTTAGCAGTGTATTTGAGGCAATCATCTATTTTTGGCACCACTTGGGCACCACAAGTTCTGTGGGACAGCCCCTGTCTCTACCTCAAACTCATCTCCTGGAGTCAGGTGATTAGATGAGACTCTTTTTCATCTAAGTGCTTTTTGTTTTGCTTTCTAATCTGTGGAGGGGAGCTGGCAGATGCCATCTTTAAAGGTGAGGAAAATGGAGCCAACGTTTTGTATTCCAGAAATCTCATTATTTTCCAACTAATATACTGATTTTGGATGCTTGGGGTTTGGCAGTGGTGCAAGGGTCATTGCTGAACAAAGCAGAAGCAGGCCTATCCCGGAGAAGCCTGTCTGGGTAAAATACGCATTTTCTAAGAGTGGAAAACATGAATTCTCTGGGTCATGTCAAGGAATGAGGCCTTGTGGGTAATTTCCCTTTGGCTCTGACTTGATGAAAGCTTTTATAAAAGGAAAAAGTGTGTTTTAAGAAGTTACTTGATACTTATCTGTCCGGAGTGCTTTTCCCAGGCTGGATTTGGGGAGGGATTATCTCAGATTTTCATTTAGTTCTGAAATCCTGGCTATTGGTTTTATAAACTAAAACCCCTTCGCAGCAGGTTGCTTGTTCTGTCTTGTTGTTTTAGCTTGATGCCTAGGAAGGAATTTAAATTTCCTGAATGGATGGAGCCTGCGCCTCGCTGGGGTAAATCAGCATCGTTCAAATATTTAAAGGCAGATGCATCAATACTGGCAGCTGAGGATCTGGCTTACTTTGATTAAAATCTGATCAAGATTACTCAGCCTTGCCAAGGGACTTGGATTACCAGTCTATAAAAAGAAGAGGAGGAGAGGAGAGGACATTAAATATAAAAATAATCCAATGAAGGACGTTAAGCTAAACTCACTGCAAATTGAACAATAATGAAAACATCCTCCTTAAGCAGGTGGAGGGCAGCAGGGCTTGCAGGCAAGTAGGAGGCTTGGAGGTGGGGTTGAGGTAGAAATACTGCCCTGGGGTTTCTTATGGGCATGGCCTCGTCTTTTAAAGGCAGATAATTTTTTTTTTTTCCAAAGGAGGGCCTTGCTCATTAAAAAAACCCCAAGGAAGCGTTGTGGGAGGAGATGTGGGTGACAAATCCTTCGGAAAATCCTTGCCTCTGCTTCCTCAGGAGACCTGGGCTAGTGCCAAATCTCACTAGCAAAGAGGTGATTGAAGCTGAGGAACAGAAAATCAACTCTCTTACAGACTGTAGAATGTGAAATGTGCTTTTGTCTTTAGGGCTTCTTACAGGGGTTGAATTTCAACTCTTCCCTTCCATCACAGCATTTTTTTCACCCTGTTTTTTCATTACTTTTTAAATGTAAAGCATACTCAAGGAATGTTATTATGCCATGGGATTAAGCTTGATAGCCAGTGACTGATGGGGACACTGCACCAAGCTCACTGCTTGCTGAGCCATTTCAGGAGTCTGTCCAACCATCTGGCACGTGTCTAGATTTCCCAAGATTTCTTATGCTTATGGTCTCTAAACTCTGGTCTAATGGAAAGTGTCCCTGCCCATGGCATGGGCTTGAAACTAGATGATCTTTAAGGTCCCTTCCAACCCAAACCATGATTTCCTGTGCTCCTATGAAGTGCTGTATCTATCAGTAGGTCAGGCACACTGGGGTCCTAAACTTGTTGGTTTTTGAAGCCTCCAGATCCCAGTGAGGTGAGCAGATTTCCCCCTTCTCTTTCTGGAGCATGCTGGCTAGCTGGAATAGGAAGGTGATCTCTGTAGAAGACATGTGGGTGGAAGGAGATCTATGGGGGCTGCAGGACTTGAGTGTCCTTTTGACAGGCCACAGTGAGCAGGGTGCATGGAGAGCTGGCTGGTCTGAGACTGGGAGATGCTTTGAGTGTGTCAGAGGACTCTGGGAGCCTGGAGACTGGGGCAGAGTGGCCTTAAAATAATCACAGAATCCTTGAATAGTTTGGGTTGGAAGGGACCTTATAAGATCATCTTGTTCCAACCTCGCTGCCAATGGTGGGGGGGGTGACTTAAAGTGACACATCTCAGATTGCTGGAGGGCAGGAGACAGGGTGGCTGTGGGACCTCCTGAGCAATTACATCCATGGATGGCCAGTGACATCGCCTGGATGCCCCAGCAGTGGTGGCAGTCTGTGCCGTTTTCTTTAATCAGAATGAGGGTTGGATGAGGATAAGATTGTGTTTTAATAAATATTTGTTAGCAAGTGCCTTCCCCTCCCCCCTCCCCTCTAATAATGTTCATTCTCCCTGCAGGAACACGTGCGTCGTTCAGCTTCTGTTGCTCCATGTGTCGTGCTCCATTACTCCATCTCACTCGCAGCCACGGAGTAGGAGGAACTCTGCCAAGGCTTTTTCTGGGAATTTGCTCTGGTCCTGCTACTTCCCTGGTGGTGCTCCACTGATGTGGGTTGTTTGCAGGGGGAATAAAATGCTCAGCTGTCAGCTCCTGAATGGCCTGTCAGAGGCCAAGGCAAGGACCAGCCCCTCCTTCAGCTCTGTGTTACACAGCCATGGTAAGTTTTGGGCCACGACTTTTGGGAGAGAAAAGTTGCTAAGCAATAAACGTGACCTTCTCGCCGTGTTCTAAAAGATGTGAGACTTTCCTTAAGGCACCCTTGGGATAAAGGTTCTTCCCCCACAGCCTTTCTCAGGTGCGAAAACAGGGTCTGCAAGTGGCCGTGATACCCTGTGAAGAGGCAGCCCTGTCTGAGGTGTGATTGTATTCTCACGGGGTGTGAAACAGTGTTTAAAAACATTGATAATTGAAATGCACTGGTGAGCATGTTTTTCAAACCCTTGCTTTCTTGCTAGAAATAAGATTACCCTTACCCAGACTAAGTGGCTGCAGAGAAGGTAGACCTGCAATGGTGCCTGGGCCGTGCCTTGGTTAAGTTCAGGCTGAATTTCTGATGACCCAGAAGGGATCCCAGCAGCCCCTCAGCTGTTTGCAGGTCTGAGGATCAGTGGTACTGTGCTTATGAACCAGCACTGCATTGAGCAAGGCTGGGACCAAAAGCCTCCTCAGTCTCAAACTGCCTATAAAATGAAGGAGCTGAGGGTTCCCAAGTGTCAGGTTTGCACTCACAGGCAAGTTCCAGAGAAATAATAAGGTAGATGCTTATTATTTAATAAGAAGGTTCTTGCTGCTTGCTTCAGTTTCTTTCAGGCCATGTGAGGGAGCAGGGGAAATTTGAACCATCTGATGTACATTAGTAATGAGAGATTAATGCTGTGCATGAGCAGGGGCTTTATTACTGCAGGAGCTGTAATATCTTATACTTTCTGAGTATCTTATACTTTCTGATTTATAATTCCTTCCTGATCTGGAGTCTTTGGCCAAGCATCTTTGTACACAAAGCCTGAGGAATATTTGATGGGAAAGCCCCTTTTTACATGGGACATGCCTGCAAACCTCTGCTGGCAGGTCACAGCAGCTTCAGGACATTTGGCCACCAGAGTGGGCTAGAATGACACAGGGTTGGTAAGGAGTGGTCAGTAGTTTGTGTAGCTCCACAACCCACACCTGTGCCTGCAGCATCCTGGCCTGCAGAGCCTCTGTGCTCACTCAAGAGGTGTTTCACCTCAGCACAGGGTCTTCAGGCTGTTCTCTGAGCTGTGCTTAAACCCTCTGTCCCACCTGGATTTCTTCTCTCTGAGAGCTGGACAGGGCAGCTGCCCACGCTCAGTTGTAGCACCCTTCCTTCTTGCCTTTTTTCCCTGAGAAAAGAGGGTTAATGTGGTTTTGGCTCCTTTTTGCCCACCCCTAATAACTTTCCACCCTGATGGCTGATTGCAGCTCTGTATGTCAGAGACCTTAAAGATAACGAGTTCCTACCAGCTTGATATAAATAGATGGCCGAGGAGAAGACTTTATCTTTGCCCCTCTCTGCCAAAGGAGTTCAATCCTTATCAGTGCAAGAGCATCTGTGTGTGAGAGAATGAGGAACAGAATGTCATGAATGCCTCTGGGGAAAACTGCTCTTGGAGACAGTACCCTACTGCATCCTGCAAAATCCCACTGGGAAACGTAACTCCATGGGAAATGGAAGTATTGCTGGGCCTGCTAGGGGCTGAGCACTGTGTGAGGCTTTCTGCTGATTGTTTTCCCTGCATCCTTTCATAAGAGACTAAAAGAAGTGATGTGTGTGGTGTTGCCAGCCTGACTTTGAGCAGGAAGCACAGGGACAGGAGCCTGGAGCAGAGGATTGCAGACTGCTTCCCAGGGGATGAGGCTGTTTTAGCCTCTGACTGGTTGATAGGGCATCTTTCTCCTCCAGCAGCACTTGTTTTCCCTGGGGAATAGCCCCTGTTTCTAGGATGGTCCTCCAGCTCATCACCCAGCTCCCTTCCTGCCCTCTTTGCCTTTTGCAGAAAGCTGTTTAATCAAGGGTGTATCAAAATCCATCTGTCTACACTGGTGTCAACAACTTGGCTTCAGGGACATTTTAAATCATTTTCTAACTGAATTCTGTAATGGATTTTATTGCTGAGAGAATGGAAAGCAGGGCAGCAAAGGTGTTTTAATTACATCTGATTGTGGCATCTTGCAGACTTGCCCTGTCAGTTGTTCTGGCACAGCATCATTTAGAGGCTGCTTTTGCCAGCATGGGCACATTAGCTGGAGGGGGGTTACTGATCACAGAGGAAATCATTGATATTTTACTACTGACATTATCTTGGAGCTGGGTCTTCTTTTTCTACCTTGCTTTTGTGGCATCAACTTCTCCTGCTTGAGAGGATTCCAATCCTATATCATGTTATTTGGGGGCAGTGAAAACCAATCACCTGCCCTATTATTGTATGGGCATCATATTGGAGTGGAGCAGAAGTGCTTTGCTTGCTCTGAAGAGAAGCTGTGTTGCTGCAAGGGACATGTCTCTCTGAGCCCTTTCCCCAGCTCACATTTTGGTTTCACATCCTGTTAACAAACAAACAGCTTCCCTTTTTCTGGGTCCAGCAGGGGAAGATTGAAATGCTGTCTCCAGCAAGACTATGTGGGGAAAGAAGGAGGGAGTGTGACAGGGAAAGGCTGAGGGTCTCACTAGGTTGAAACACCTGTCAGACCCATGGGATGGGATCAGCAGGTGGAGTAAGTCCTGGGCAGGCAGGGGTGTAGTAGGTGCAATAAAGCACATTTTTTGGAAGTGCCTGCTCACCACACAAGAGGAGCTCCAGCTGGGTACGTGTGGGAATGCCAAGAACTATTGTATCTCTACACATTTAAGGTGTATTTTCACTGACACTCAGAGCTCATGGTCTCTGCAATGATGCCTGTGTGTTTTCTGGAGCATTCAGCAGGTAGCAGCTGCCCGTGCCCATACCTTGACTTGCCATTTAAAACTGCTCAACAGGCAGGAACTGTTTGAATCTAACCTGGGGTCTGGAGGAATGAGAGTCCGAGGAGGAGTAGGGCAGAGCTGATGTCATTTTTCTACATGACTGCTAGTATTACTTCCATTCTTTCCAAAGCTTTTGGCTGTGATTTAATAGGTAGCTCAATCCTCAATATCCACAATTTTTCAAAGCTGGAACGTGTCTGTGTTCCTGACAACACTCATCTGTGTCATTTCCTCCTCTTAATAGTTGTAACCTCAGCTGCAGATGAGAAGTGCTTTGTTTGTGACTCCTGGGTGCTCTGCACTTGATGCATCTCCCGACAGATGCAGGGCAAACTCCGCTCCTCCCGCCCGGCCTGGCTCGCAGTGATGGATTAAGTAGGTAAGTAATAGAGTGGTAATGAGATAACCACTGACATCAAGCATTAACGTGGGAATAAATGAAGTTACCAGCCAGAACTAATGGCCTGAACTATCACTGGGTTGTAATTAATGAGTGTGGTGGCTGAGATTTACAAGGATATTTTAGGATGCTCCTTGCATGCAGCTTTGGGTTTTATGGCTTGGTTGGAGAGAAATTGGTTAATGCCAAGAACTTAATGAATGGGCAGAAGCTGTTCTTTGTCAGTTTGAAGTGCTCTTCTTGTGGAAGAGGCCAGAATGGCACATGTGGAATATCTGCCTTTTCATTACTTCAGGGACTGGAGGAGGGTAGGATGCTGTGGCCTCTTGGTCTCTCAAACTCTCAGTGCAAGGTATCTTGAATCTCTTGTTTCTTCTGTATTATTAGGTCAGAGTAGGAGGAGTCCTGGTGGAAGCAGGGCATCTGAAGTGAACCTATGGACAAGCTCACCTGTATGTAGAAGAGATTGCCATTGATGTGGGTTCTCCACCCAGGACCTCTCAACTGAGCAATGACAAGCTGCCCTGTTCTGCCCCATGAAGGTGGGACTTCTGGTTTCTTCTTCAGGTCTTCTCCTTCTTGCTGCTCTGATGTCCATGAGATCCAACTGCCTGTACCTCACACAGGAGTTTCCTGGAGCAGGAAATGAGGTGTCCATGCCCAGAGGGCTTTGTCTGGAGACCCAGCCCTCCCTGCTCCCACAGCTTTCTCGGTGTGTGACCCTGCTTAATGCTTCTCAGACATGTAAGAAGCATTTCAGAGGTGGTTGCTAGGCTGTTGCAGGAAACACAGCAGAGCAGCCAAAATTCTTCATGATAATTGGTGGGAATACTCCAGCCACCTCACTGCTGCCTTCCTCATCTTTCCATGGCAACACTCCCCCTCCAGCAGCCCAGGTGCTTGTGGTTGGATAGAGTAGGAGTTTCTGAGTCCTCTGTCTTCTAAATCACCCCTTGGAGCACGGAGGGAACATCTGTACTTTTAAAGTATGGGCATCATGTGATACAACAAATAACTTCACTTGCTCTAACCATACTCTTTTTTTATGCTGGCAGAGACAGAAAACTTTGGAAACATGCCTGAATCGGACCCTTGCATTTCTTTGGTGGAAAGAGCTGTTACCTTGTTTTGGGAGAGAAAGGTGCAGAAAGACTTGAATGTTTCTTTTCCTTCCCATGGTCTGAGCCACCACATCTCTCTGTGCTGGAGAGAGGAGTGAGACCACACTCAGCATCTGGTGAGTACAGGGAAGGACAATCTTTTTCTTTCTGGCAGAGATAGCCCAGATGGAGCTGTGATGTCTCCTACAGGAAGCCAGGATGGTGGCTGGAAGGCACAGAGATAAGAGAGAGCAGAAAGGAGAGAAAGAGAGAGAGGTCAGGCACTGCCTCATCCTCATTTCTGTTCCCTGCTGTACACAAGGGTATGTGGGGCACAAGACAAGATGAACAGGGAAACTGCCTGTTGGGTGATGCCCAGCTCTGCCAGCATGGGCAGAGTTGGGCATTGCAGAGCAGAGGCATCTTCCTGCTCCCCATTTCTCTGAAACATTCTCCATGCATGTTCTAGTACCATTAGCTTTTCCCAGACCTGTTTTACAGGCATTTTTAATGATTCCAAGGGAAAATGAGACTCAACTGGCCACTGGCAAACCCAGCCCAAAGCTGCCCAGACTTGGGGAGGTTGCCACTTTGTCTGGAAGCATTCTTTATCCTTGGTGCAGGCTCTGTAGTTCCCTTCCATGTTGAAAAGGAGGAGGAAGAAATTTCCATCAGGCTCAGTAAGTTCCTTTCCATGCTGAACAGGAGGAAGAAATTTCCACTTGCTGGGCCAGCACAAGCCAAGACCCAAACTGAACAAAGAATGGGCAGTGGATTCAGGGATATGTAAATCCTCCTCCCCCAGCCTGAGGGAGTTTATTGCCCTCCATGAAGTACCCAGTGTGGCTGTCATTCCTGAGCAGCCCAGTCTGGCTGTTAAATGACAAGGGAAAATTACCCAGTCTGTTCTCCAGAAGGCAAGTGAGTAGGAATTTTCCTCCAACTGGTTCAGGACAAAGTTAATGTAGGGAAAGCCATTAAAATTAATGCTGGTAAACAAGAATAAAAACCAGCAGGGTTGTAACAAAATTTGGACCAGATTGGGTTTCCCAGCTGTCGTGCTGCACACTGTCTTAAAGGCAGGGGGCAGAGGGAGGGGGTAAGCTGAGTTCAGAAAAGTCTTGCTGGAGAGGGCTGGGAGGGCTGGGGCATCTGGGCTCATTTGGCACCAACTTTATGGTCCAGCCCTCTAATCCCCTCAGGCTGGCTGTTTTTTTCTGGGAAGCAGTAATGCTGGTTTTTTCTGACGGTCATTACATGTTTTATATGTTCTTGGTATTCATCTGCTCTTCTCCAGAGGCTGCCCTCCCCATTCAAGCCCTGCTTTAGCAATGTGTCCACATGGTTGCTGACTGCAGGTGTTTTGTGTGAGCTAGTTTGGGAGCAGATCTCGGGCTGTTGGGGCAGTGACTTGCTCCAAGAAACATCTTAAGTTCAGATGGGAAAGGTGTAACGAAGCACAGCTGTGTGTTACTACTCTCTTCTAGGCAAACAGCTTTTTCCAACCCCACAGTGTGCTAACAGGAGCCAGGCAACTTCTGCAGAACGTTTGGCACTGGATGTTCAGCTGACTTGACACACTTTGGAGTAAGTCAAATCTAGTATAACCAATCCAAAATTTCTAGCCCAGAACAGAAGTAATGCCCCACATTTTCAGGTGACTGGGGGTGGTACTGGTGAGAAGGAAGAAGGACAAAAGCAGTCAGCCACTTTCTTGCAGCGTCTGAGGGAGCTGGATTGTATGTTTGGAAAAAAGAAGGCAAGAGTCTGAGCACCTTCATCACAGATGCTGACATCCATTGAAACCTTTCCTCTCCACAAGTCAGTGAAAACAACAGAAGAAATATCCTTTAATTCCTCAAAAAGTATCATATCCTTTGTATATCTTCCTAATGAGGCTGTGTTTGCTCAGAGTTCAATGGCTCTGATGGTCCTGTCCTGGATGGTCAGGTTTTGCAGGTTGGGTGGGTTCTGAAATCTCCAGGCAGCAACTCACAGAGCCAAGTGAAGCTGCTGAGATAAGGAGCTGTGATGCCTCCAGCCCAGTGCAGGGAACTAGAGCTGGATGTCTGAAATTATTCTCTGTGAAGAGGAGGAGAGTCTGGACAGGTCACACCTCTTGCTGGAACAGAAAGCAGTGTGGAGAGAGGCCCAACACACAAATCTTGTTTTGGAGCCCTGTGGGAATCCACAGGCTGCCTCTGTGGGGAGGCATCAGCCCCTTTTCACCAGTCAAACTGTTGTCAGCTTGGTGTCTCAGAGGTGGAGAGCTTTCTTTTGTTTTTCATGAGACATCACCAAAGGATCGGGGTGACAGAAATATTTGTGTGGAAGTAACCATATGAACCTTTTTTTTTTTTTTTGATTATTTGAAAACTAAAGCTGTTCATGGGTTTTAAAATTCATGTCCCCTCCAGGTTGCTTTACTTTGTTTTGTTTCTTATTCCCTCTCCCTTATTCCTCAGAGGGAACCATCCAAACCTACACAGTGTGTTACTTTGAGAAATGCAATAGTTTTGCAGTCAAACCTAGGCTGGAAATGCTGCTGGTGATTCATTTGTCTTAGAAATGTAAAAAGGCTTGGATGGAACAGAAACCAGGCTGGTTCAGGGAGAGTTTTCTTGTATGTGAAGATCCACTTCAGCGGGGGAGTTCTTTTTTATTGGAAAAAGAAATTTTTATAGGCTTTGTCTGAGAGACTTGGGCTCCAGCCATTCTTCTGTTGCAGCTTTTTGTATGATACCAAGATCTAGGGCTTGGCTATCCCAGTTCCTGCTTCCCACGTCTGCTGCATTGCAGAGTTCCATGATTCCAGTGCCAGTTCCATGATTCCTTTGTTCTTTAGAGTCACTGCTTCTGCAGGGTGGGATGGATGTGATGCCATTTTTTGCCTTGACTATACTTTGTCACACAGGTCCTTCCCAAACACAAGTATCATATGGATGCACTGCTGTGTCTTGAGGGCAGCAGGCATCTCCTGCTGTCCCATGGTGAGAGGTCCAGGTCCTACATTCATCTTCAGGGTCTGCTCAAGCTCCTCTTCACCAAGAACCTCTTTCTGAAGTTTCTCAGCATCCACCGAGGTTGACAGCCAGGCACCAGGAAGGGAGATTCATGGCTGGTAAGCACCACAAATCCCCTGCAGAATACCTTTTTGGCCTCCAGTTTCCCCATCTATAAGCCAAGCACTTTTAAATAGTGTGCTCTTTGAGACACAGCTTTCTGTTCTGTCAGACAACAGGGACTTTTGGAAAACCTCCAGGTAGTGTCTGAAATCAGATTAGCTGATATATCACATACCAAGAGTAATCCCAGATTGTGGGGGCTGTTCTTAACATCTCCATGGATGTCCCAGAGTTGGCTTGATTGGAGGCAAGGAATACCATGGAAACAGGACTGGGTGGAGAGGCTTGGGCAGTGGGGAGGCTTTGCAGGGGTCAGGAGTGCTGGAAAGTGTCTGTCTGTCTGGAAATAGAAGAAGGAGTGGGCTGGATAGAGGAGACCACCACTCCTTTAATGACTGCTGTGAGAGCTGCCACCTCTGCTGCCTAGTGCTGGCCAGATCCATGGTGTGACTGCTCATCTCCAGCTCTCTGTGCCTCACATGCTGCTTTTCCTATAAATAGTCCGGTGGGAAGCGGAGCATGGAGCCACCACAGATGGCCCCCAGTTACACATGCAGTCGTGTGTGTGATCCCAGAGAGGAGCTGTCAATACTTTGCCTCGAGCCACCCATGAAACCTCATTAAAAATGATGTCCTCTTCCTTCACCCCTGTCACCCCCTCACTTCCCACTCCGACTCGCCTGCATTCAGGCACCCTTATTAAACATGCACTTCTAAGCAAGGAGCGCTGACTTCCCCTTAATTGAGGCATAATAATTAGAGCATTAACACATTAGGAGGGTGAGACAGCATGTTTAGCTTTTGTGATTAATTATCTGAGGATTGTAATAAGTTGTTAAGACATTAATTACTCTGGCATGTTTATTGCTCTTTATTGCAGAACAGACACTTGGTAGCAGCAAGTGCTGGCTCGTCTGGAAATAGAGTCAGAAGTGGTCTGATGGGAGCAGACCACCTACTCATCCTCAAAACAGTGAGCTGCTGCTGGTGGCAACAAGGTGGAGAAATCCCCCTTGGTGACCAAATAGGTTTATTTCTTACAGATGGATGTAGAAATGGTACCCGAGTCCCTTAGGACAGTCCAGGACCTGGAAAGTCCTTCCTGATCTTTTAATCTGGATTATTCTCCTCTTTCAAATGAAGTGTTTCCTTCCTGATGCTTTGAGCTCCCCTTGATTCGGGTCATTGTGTTGCCAAGTTTGGTTAGCATGGGTCAGTCTCTGTCTGGATCTCACCAGGAAGATTGTCTGTATTAAAGACAGGCTGAAGTTTGGAGCATCAGCAGAGGCCAAGGAATGAACCAGGACTCCAGTGGCCTCCCTCACCCTGCCACTGGATGAGTTTTCCTTTGGAGTTTGGGGAAGTAGGTTAGGGGAGGGGCTGGACAGGTTTGGACTGCTGTAGCCTCCTGTTTGCACAGCAAGCTCCTCTGTGTCCCCTACACAGCTCCAGGTGGGTCTGTCAGGCTGGGACTGATGGCAGAGTTCAGGGCTGCAGGAGGAGTGGTTCTTTTGTGTTCCTGAAACTCTGAGAAAGAGAAAAGACAACGTCATAAAAAAGATATGTCATCAAATCAGCAGGGTGACGTGGTGGAGCTGTTCCCAGTCTCCTGCTCTTCCCATGACACACTCATGCTGATGGACCCCCCTGCCCTCTCCTTGCAGTTTTCTGGCTGGCAGGAACACGGGAGATGTGATGGCAGCCCCAACACCTGTAACAGATAAAGAAATTTGGGAATATTATGGAAAACAAGAGGGTGGGGAAGCCATAGGAGCAGTGTGCTGATACCAATTTCTTTTGGGATCCCTGGAACCCAGTGTTTCCTGTCTCTAGGCTGTTCTGTATCCTCATGTTATTGCAACACTTGCCTGTTTCTGCTGGATGCATGGAGCAGGGCAGGAAGGGGGCTCTGTTGCCTCTTTTTAGAGTTAAAACAGAAGATGATCCTGACAAGTCTTTGTCCTTCCAAGACTGTCCCAGTGGTCACTTTCCCCGTGGCTTCCACCAGCTCAAGCCAGTGTCACTGTCACTCAGTTGTGTGAATGGCTGTGGAGGAAAATTCCCTTCCGTGTGTATAATCTGGGATCTGCCTTGTGTCAGCTGAATGTGATTTGCTGCCTTCAGCCCCTCAGAGCCTGGTCTGGCTCTCGCTGGCCCAGCCTGGGATTGGCATTCACTGTCAGGGACCTGCTCTCTGCATTCAGAGCATGGCATGTGCCAGCCTGGCATTCCCTGCTCCACCCTGGGGACAAGGCAGGTCATGACTTATGCATTTTATCATTACAAAGAGAATTTCCTCTAGATGTGTGCAATAAGCAGTGGTGCTGACCTGTGATCCTGGAACTGAGCAGCGTTAATGACTCCCCTTTGCAGGTAATAAGCAGCAAATGTACACATTTTGGGGAGATCTGAATATTTTTTTCTCTTTTTAAGACTGCTGTCTTCCTAGGCCAGACTTAATTAGCAGACCTCATTATTTCCTGAAATGTAACTTGACTTCTATTGAATGAGAATTGTTCAGTGGATGGGAAGCAGCAGAGCAGTGCTGCAATATTCATATTGTTTTAATTGCAACATTAACATTTCATGCCGCTCTTGGCACACTTTCAGGTGCGGCCCTTCAGCTCAGTGCAACACTGTGAAAGGCTGGATCAGAACAATTAGGATAGAGTGACTGGATTTCTGGATTTTCTTTTTTTTTTTTTTTTTCCCTTCTATTTTAATGAACATAAGCTTGAATTCAGTCCCCATCCCTCCTTTTGTTGGGCAGAACAAGGAGTCACCCCCCCTGGAGTGTAAATCCTTTTTTGGTTGTTTTTTTTTTTTTTTTTTTTTTTGATTAAAGGATGTGCTGTAGCACATGTTTAAATTGTCTTTCTGTGGAGCTGAAGCCCCACAGGTACAAGTGATACGTGATCCACCAGGCTGAAGGTGCCTCCTGGGACTTGACCTTTACCAGGTGAATCAGAGAAGTCCCAGAATGTGTCTGGCCAGCTGGGACAGTGTCACAAATGAGCTGGAGGGAAAAATGTTATTTCTCACTTCTCAGTTTCTGCCAGGGCTCTGCAATGCCTGAAGCTGGAAATGACACTTGGAACAGGTAAGGACTGGGTTACCAGTGCAGATCCTAAATGAGCACAGGGACCACCCTGCTGTATCCCCAAGCTGCATATGGGGCTGGGCTTTCTGACACAGGGGTCAGGCAGCACTGAAATGCTGGGCTCAGCCCTAGCAAGGTCGTATCACACTGGGGCTGTGAGAACATTAATTGACTCTAAGGGAGAAGCAGGAGGCTGCTGTATCCCCTTCAGAAGGAAGAAGAGGAGTTTCTGAGGCTCATTCTTTCCTCCTGGGGGAAGGACGCCCATGCTGCTGCCTGCCAGCCCCGTGCTGGTGCCAGCAGGTCTGTACTGGGGCTGGTGGGCAGCAAGGACCTGTGTGTGGAGGAATGGGCTCCCCCTCAAGTGCCACCCATCAATCAACAGCTAATGAGCAGCTCGATGTGCAAGTGATCCTGCTGAGAGCTCACCAGGCACTGCTCCGACTCTGGCCTGCCTTCCTGGCATTCCCTGGCAGCAGTCTGTGGATGAAACCTCTTTCTGGAAGGTGAAATCTCTGTCCGTGCAGTGGAGAGGCAGTGGGAGAGTTGTGGGGGTGAGGGAGCTGCTCGGCCAGTGGGTTCTCCCCTTGGAGCTGGGCATGTCACTTCCATTTTAGGCAGCAGCTGAACTCATCCATAAGTCTGGGATGGTAATTAAGGCTGGAAATGTAGAAGGACTTCAGCTTGGTCTCTTGAAGAAGGGCTAGGGAAGGGCACATATTCCATTTCCATGGGCTTTCCAAAGGCTAACATGCCATCTTACTGACTGGCTCTCCTATCAGCTGAACAGGCCTGAAACCTTCTCCTGTTGGTACTATGTGCAGTGGCATCCATGAAATCTCTTCTCTGGATGTACAGTTTGGGTTTGCAGTCTCTGGTGCCCAGTAAGTCATTTGTGCTGAATGGAGCATCTCCCTTTCCTGGGATATTTATAGCATCTCTCCCACACAGATTGTCTGATGTCTAATAAGGGATGATACACTACAGTTTGGATGGTGCTAATAATGTCTCTCCTTGTTTGGTAGTCTGTTCCCATGAAATTTATAGACTGACTGTCTCCAAGACCTCTGTTGCTCTGTCACATCAGCTTGAAATCTGTTTGCAGTGTCAGAAGTTGCTGGGGAGTGGGCAGAGGAGATGCAGCAGCATTGCCTGTGCCTTGCGCTCCTTGGGAAACCAGGCTGAAAATGATGCGGGGACGGGGGAGCTGTGGCTGGGGTCAGGGGGCAGCGGGTTTGGGAAGGTCCCGGGGGTGTTGGAGGAAGGCGATGAGCTGCTGGCCCCTTGTGGGAACCAGCGGACAATAAAGGAGCCAGCCCCGAGCTCCTGGCTGGTGTGAAGAATTGCCTGGCTAAAGGATAATGAATGCCACAGCAGGAGACGAAGCGTTTCTCTGAGGCCATTCATCCCCTTTATCACCCTGCTAACAAGCCCCAGAGCGACTTTAGAGAGCCTTCTCTGGAGCAGCAGCATCCCTCAGCCCTGCTGCTGGCTGGGTGCTGGGGGTCAGGGATGCTGCGTGTGGCAGGAGGGCTCAGCAGGAAAACCACGGACCACCTCTCGAATAACAGCCCCGGGCTTGGACCTCTGCTCTGGGGACTGTGCCTTGGCTTTGGTTTGGCTGGCGTGGAGACCATACCCTCCTTCAGGTCGTGCGTGGTGCCACCTGAGAGATCCAAATGTAAAAGCCAAGCATCCATCTTTTTTAAAGTACTTCTGGGCAGCACCTGCAGCACCCTTAGGAGGATGGCTCCATCCTAAGTCCCAGCTTGCCTAAGATTTAAGATCTGTAAGAGTTATACAAGACCCAAGAGGAGTTTGGGGCTGCCAGCACGTAGGTAAGTTGGTTCTGCTTCACTTGCAGTGCATCTGAGGCTGTGCGTGAGCCTTGTGAGAGGAGGAAAGGGCAGGAGTGCTGTGCTCTTCATAAGAGCTAATAAAAGCTAATCCATCCCATTGCTCCAAGACACTGGGAAGCATTAGTGGCTGGCTGAGTGCCTCCTCCACCGTGGCAGCGTGCTGTGTGCCTCTGCCTTCCCGCTGGCTGGGAGCAAAGCGTGTCCTCCCGTGGTGGGGAAGGCATCTCTGGCAGAGCTGTGCTGCCTGAGCTGCTCCCTGTGGCTGTCATGCCTCCTGAGAAGGAAAAACTGCCAGAGAACCTGGACAGGTGAGTCTGGGAATGAGGATGGACATCCCTTGGGCATTCTCTCATGGCAGGCCTCAGCCCAAGCAAGTGCCTTGCCTCTGCTGCAGGAGTTGGGCCATGGCTTGTGGGAGCAGAGGAGAGCATCACCTCTGATTTGACTGCTATATATAAGACCCTCAGAAAGGCTGGAGCCAGTTGAGCCCAAATAAATGCCCAAATAGGTTGGAACACCTTCACCAAGCAGGCTGTGAGCTCGCCTGAGCACTGTGTGTGCAGGTATGAGCTGTGCCACCCTGCCAAGAGTGATTTGTGTCTGGGGCACAGTGCACAGTGGGTGATCAAGTAGAAATAATTGCCTGTAATTGGAAGCTTTTTCTTTTTCATCATGTCTGTTTTCTTAATTTCTCCTTCTTCTCCTCCTTCAGGTTTAGCTGTTGGGGAATGCATTTTGTGTGGTAAACACCCCACAACCCGTGCTAGGGGGAGAAGGGAAAGCAAATTGCATTGTGTTTGGGTGTGCTCAACAAATGCTGATAGTGGTTTTATCAGGGCAAAAAAGGAGGAGAAAAGCTGCAAAGCTTTGCAGATAGAGAGGGCAGAGTGCCATGACAGATAATTGGGTGGTTCCAGTGAGGGGAGAAACAGCAGGAGAGCAGCAGGTGGTGGGGTTGTCCTGGAATGTGTTTGCAGAGCTGTGGAACAGAGGAGAAAGTTGGAGCCAGGTATCATGGAGCCAGGTATCTCCTTGAGTGTGAGCAGCAAGAGGATCGTAAGCCTGATTTTTTATTCAGGAGGTCTCCAAGCATTTTAAAAGGAAGGCATTATCACAGGTTAAGAAATTTCCCGTCTTGAGGCATCAGTGGCTAAGTTCAGAGGCAGCCAGAGGAACCTGTGAGCGTTGAGCCTTTGTCACAAGCTTTCCTCCCCAAAAGTCTGTGCTCTAGACCTTGGCCTCTCTCCCAGAGCCCTGCGCTGACCAGACGGGTGATGGGGAGTTCACTGGAGGCCTGCCATGTCCCACGAGGTGGCAGCAGGACATGTTGCCTCCTGTGGCCACTGCTGTCAGCTGGACTGCCTTTGGGAGGGAGGATGCTGGCAAGCCAAGTGGCCTTTCAAAGCAGGCTGGAACTTTAAGGGGTGTCAGTCCATGTGAGACCTCTGTTCCTGCCCTGACTTCTCAGAGTTTGGGGAGGAGTTCACTTTCAGTCCAGAAACATCTGGTGCCTTTTCTTCTTCTGCCAGCACCATTAAATGTCGAGTTGAAGGGAAACACCATACATCACCTTCCTCGTGGGCTGCCATTCAGCCAAGAGTTACAGAGATTAGCCTTCAATCACACGAGGGCTGGAGCTGAAGGAAACCTTCCCGAGGACACGCTGGAGAAACATTTTCATTAGCAGAGGAGAGCGTGATGGAGATGAAGTGGCCCTTCACCTCGGCTGCCAGACCTCTCTCCTGCCTGGTGCTAACAGGACAGGGAATGCTAACCGAGGAGCTGGGGCCAGCTGCAGGGCTCTGAGTGCTGTCTGCACTGTTCCTCCAGATGTGAGGAACAGCTGTGACACAGCAAAGCAGCGCTTTTATAGTCTGGTAGGGGTGGTCTTGGTTTTCCTCCTACCTGTGAGCTCTCACTGCTGGAAATAAACTGTCCCTCTTGACTGAAAGGAGAAAACCTGTGCTAGGGCACATACCTGGGTGGGTGTGGGCCAGAAAAACAATGTCCTTGGGTGGCAGTGTCCGTGGGGCCAGGAGGTATCCCAGCCTCTGCCTCCTGCAGTACGTCTTCAAATCTAACAGGGCTGCCTTGGTGGTAGTAGGGGCTTTCTCTGCTCCATGGAAAGCTGCTCCACAGCTCTTTGCTCTTACTCTGCCTCTCCCCAAGGCAGTTGAGGTGCCCAGGATTCACTTCTGCTGTTGATGTTGACGAAACACCCCCTGGACCCCAGCTGGGTGCCCGGCACAGACCTGTCTGTCCCAGTTAATGGGAATTAACCAGCAGGATCCCTGCAGCTCTGTCTGCCGCCCCCCACCACCTCACCTCCCTGGGGCTGGCGTGCTCCTGACAAAGGCAGGCTCCATCTCTTTCACTCACAGCTGAAGGATGCCTTGCCTGCTTCTATCTTGCAGGTTGGAGGGAAATTGTTTTAATTTGTGTGGCACATTCCTTTGGGCATAAACTGGGGGAAGAAAAGAAAAAATCCCAAAGAAAGTCTGGCCATTATGGGTATTTTTAGTTGTTTGCAAAGGACCATTAATATCTCTTTCTCTGTCTTTTTTTTTTAAATTCCCTGCAGACTGTTCTCTCTCACGGGCTGCCTGTGGTGCTGCATTAACATCACATCTCTGTGGTGAAGGTAAGCTAGTTCTCAGTGCTCCCTGAGACACAGACGCAGAGGGAGCCCCATCTCTCCTCTTCACTCTCCCTGGGTTTCCACCACATGCACAGCCTCTGAGAAGGAGCTCCCTGGCTGGGAGGGTGAAGGCTTGGAGCTATTTATGCCTTTTGGGATGGGTTTTATCAGGAATGGGATTCGAGCTCCCTGAGAGGGAGGTGACACAGGCTGGCAGCTAGGGAATTGGTTTGGAACTTCAGAACAAATGGCTGGTATAATTTTGGAGCATTCTCTTGTTAAGTTACCTCTCATGTCGCCCTCCTCCATTTCAGAACTGAGAGGAAAACATGGCTCCTGAGCAATTTTTCCCCCTGTGATGCCCTCACCTTTCTTGTTTTCCCTTTTCTCCTACAATCTCAGCTGGCTGAGTTTCACTGCCAGCCTATTGAAAGGAAAGGCACGTGCTGGCTTATGGAGGGAGAGAGACCTGAGACAGGATAAATCTGTATGCAGTGAGAATGGGGGGAAGCAAGTCAGCTGCTCTGACACTTTTATTATGGAGCCAGGCTGCTTGGGGATGAATCTTTCTTGAAACGTGTTGCTGGATGACATTTCTACCAGGTCTCAGCAGTAACCTTCACCAAGCCTTGCTGCCCAGCCCTGTGCTTGCTTTTTCCTGGGACAAAGAGAACGAATATCAGCTGGAAATGCCACAGGCAGCAGGGATCAATGGGGCTCGATGCACCTCCAGTGAGTCTGAAAGCACCTGGACTTTCTCACCACAGAAGCTCTTCAGGCTTTGGTGACTTCAGCTTGTGGCTGCATGTGTTGTTTTGCAAAGGAGTTGTGGGCTCCTACATCTGTTTCTCATTTCAGAAATGAAGAGGATGCAGCAGAGACCAAAATGAAATTCTCCTCGGAGCTGTCCAGAAGGATGGATAACTGCAAGAAAATAATATTCCATGGCTCTGGAAAAGGAGTATCCACTTGTTTAGTAACCTGGTAATGAGGTGCTGGCTGTGCTCCATGCAGAGGCTGGAAGCCATGGGAGGTTTGGGGTTACAAAGAGGGCTGGGCAGGGTTTGCTGCCCTCTCAGCTCCTTTGCTGTATCGCTGTCAACTCAGATTTCACATCAAGAGGGTGATGCTATGGCTGGCAGTGACAACAGCAGAATGTCACTGGCAGAGGTGAAGTCTTTCCCTCCATCAGGGTAATTCTCCCTTCCCTTTCCCCTTCCCCTTGGCTTGTGTTGGGCCCTGCTGGCTCCTGTGCTGAGCAGGGCAGGCCCACATGCTGCTCAGGGGACAGCACACGCTGTGCTGAGCAGCAGTTCCTGCAGTCTGGGTCAGTGGCTCCCTGTCACTGCTGCCTCTTGGCTGCATGGTGACCTGGGACAGAGGGAAACCCCTCGTCACTGCCTGAAACAAATCGGGGCTGTGAAGCTGCAATGTTTGCCCCCATGGCAGCACTGCACAGAGTGGTCCTCTGCCATGCTGGCAGGCTTGTACCAGAGATGTCCCTTCAGAGCCCTGGGGTCCCCTGTCCTTCTTAGGGCCAGGCCTAAGCTGGGTCTGAGGGGCAGACTTACATGTTAATGGTTCATGTTCTCTGCAGGCTGCTCTCACCTCCTCTGAGCAGGAGCTGATCTTGCAGGAAGGTGCCTGTGCCCACCTGCTGCAGCAGCCCCTCTACCAGCATCTGTCCCCAGGGGCCAGTTCAGCAAAGCCTTGCTGTTGTTCTGGGTCCAGTTTTCATTTTTCAGCTGGTTATGGAAAAAAGGGTAAAGGTACCTGCTGCTGCCAGGCCACAGTAGAAAACAGAGGAAGGGGATTGCCTTCTTAGTGTGCTTAAAGATCCAAAAATTTAATCTGACTGCTTCTCTCTCAGCCCTGATCCTGTTGTATCTTTTCCATCTGATGCCTGAGCCTTTTTTTGTTTTGCTATTTTTTCTTGTTCCCTTTTTACCCTCACTTTATGAAAAATGGCTTTCCCATCTGCAATTGTCAGGAGTCTGCCTGAGCTGGGTGTACGGCTCAGTGAATATACAAATGTGTGGTTGGGTCGTGGCCCTCCTGCCAGGCCAGAGATGAATTCCAAATGTGCAGGGAGAAAGGCTTCTGCTGCCTCTCATGGTTGTTTTTCTTATCCCAAGGAGGTGTGAGAATTGCCTTTGGGAGCTGTGCTTCCTTCTGCTCCTGCTCTGCTTACCAAGGATCAGTTCTCTCTCATCCATCATCAGATGAGTCCTCCTTGCTGCTCCTCTCAGCTGCTGATGGGAACGCTGGGGAAAGGGACATGTTTTGTTATCCTGCTTTTTACTACTATTCTTTTCCCTCTGCCTTTTGCATCCCTCCTCTTAGGCCCATGACAATGCATTGGGCAGGCTGGGGCTTGAGGACACTTGCTGGTCCAAGCACTTTTAAAGAGAGTTAAGGATGAGGTAGAAGGAAGGGCATTGTTTTGTAGAATCACAGAATATCCCAAGTGGGAATTCACAAGGATCATTGAGTCTAACTCTTGTCCCTGCACAGGACACCCCAACAATCCCACCATGTGTCTGAAAGCATTGTCCAAACACTCCTTGAGCTCTGGCAGGCTTGTGGCTATGGCCACTGCCTTGGGGAGCCCAATCACCCTCTGAGTGAAGTACATTTTCCTAATATCACCCTAAACCTGACACAGCTTCTTGCTGTTCCTTTGGGTCCTGTTGCTGGTCACCAGTTTGACCTAAGCCCCTTAAGAGGCTTAAAATGCAGCTTTGGAATTTTTCAGCAGTGGTGCACAACTCCACATAAGATACCCTGAAAGCAGCCAAATGCTCCTGCATATTTCAGCCTTGCTGTGTCCCCTTTCCCTGCTGCAGGTGACCAGCACTGTGGAGCTCTACAAGGAGGAGTTCACCATCTCTGCTGTGTAACTGCAGGGTCACTCAGGTGCCCAGAGGGGGCTGACAGCCTGCCCTGACAGCCAGGGGTTTGCTGAGCTTTGTGCAGGCTGGTATGTGAGCTGCTTCCCTCACCCCTGTGCCCAGAGGAGCTTACAGCCAGCGGGGCTCAGAGGAGCAGGCAGGCAGAAATTGAAATGAGCCTGCCCATCCACGCTCTTGCCACAGTTACCTGGGCAAGGAGGGGAGGTTTCTGGGAGGGCAGACCCCCACTTTGGCAGGAAGAGAGAGCAGGCAGCTTGAGCTGAGCTCATTTTTCGACAAGCAGATGGATGTTCAGTGGGGACCCACGAAAACCCTCTCGCTCCAGGCTGCAAGCCCACCAAACCAAAGTGTTGTGCTGACATGGAAAAAAGCATCGCTCCATTGATGCTCAGCCTGAATTGCTTCTTCCATTCGGTCCAGGACACAGAGACAGCCTCCTCCTGCCACCAGCTCCCATGAGGAGCCGGCTGCACACCTGCAACCAGGCGAGGAGGGAGCAGGAGCTGTTGGGCCACGAGGAAGGGGAGCGATGGCAGATTCCTGCAGCATTTCCACCCCGCGGGGCTCTTGGCGAGCGAGCGCTCGTCTGCTTTGAAAGCTCTTAGTGCTCCTGCAGGTGAGAGCCAATTTGTCTGCTTTCCTGCCCAGGTGCCATCTGTTTGTAGGATTGCCTGTGCGGTGGATGAGCACGGCGGGGATGGCGAAGCGAAAAGGGCTGCTGGGGTGGGAGGATGAGCCTAAAACTTTCCTTGGGTATCTTCAGCACTTCTGGCTGCCGTTGTTGCTTCTGCTCTGCACCGCGGTGGGGAAATCACAGCCTGTCATTTGGTGTTCCTGGAGCGTGATGGGGCGCTGAGGCACCGCTAATAGCAAACCATCATTTTAATGCTAATTTCCTACCATTAGCTCAGGCTGGGGGAGGCTCAGCCTGGGTGGAGGGAAGCCATTAACAGATGGAGAAAGGGGGGATGTGTGGGGATTTGTTCTGCACCCCCAGAAGGGACTTCCAAAGGGCAGATGACTAACTACCACTGGGAAAATTGGTGGGAGGCACTGGGGTCAGTCTGTGGTGGATGTGTGGGAGGGAGGAAGAGCGATGCTTTGCTCCGAATCATCTTCCTATAGGCATTTCTTGAGTGCTTCAGACTTTGGCTTGAATTTGGTGTTTGTTGCTTGTGGCCAGCCCTCTGTGCCCTGTGACCCAAGGGATGCTCAGAGTGCTTGCAGGGCTGCAGCTGGTGGCATCGTTGTCCTTACAACAAAGAAGACCAGCAGGGCTGTGTTTAGCTGCTGTCATTTTGGGAGGGGCTCCTTAGTGCAGGAGCCTGCGCTAAGTTTTGAGTGATGGGCTCAAAGCAGGAAAATTTGGAGCCGTTCATGAGATACCCAAGAGGTAAAAAAAGAAACTTGCCCTTTTGCCATGAGTGCAAAGTCAGCTGTCCCAAGGTGGAGAGCTGGCAGGAGAAACCAGGGGCTCAGTTTGGAGTCATGAAGGAAACCCAATCATCTCCTTGCCCTTTCCAGAGGTGGTAGTCCCCACATCCAGCCTCTTGGTCAGTCTCCTCTAGCCATGCCTGCAAAGTGGAGGAGCCTGGGCTGGTGTAGGTGCCTGGAACTCCAGGGGGGTTTGAAGAAATATGACTGGCTGCAGGACTGTAAGGCCTGTTTGGGATTTTTCAGGCAGCAGTCAGAGAGGTTTCCCTACCATTTCTAGACCAGCATGGAAACGCTGGGACTAAAGAGATGTCAGCTCAGATGCTATGCCTGTCTGGAAAGAAACTGGTTGCCTACTAATGGGGGACAGCACTGTTTGAAGTCAAGGGCCCAGTGGTGTCCTGTCTGTGGTGTGACACCTCTCCTGAAGACACACCAGCCTGTGCTGATGCAGACCACTGGCTTCATCATTTCATATGTAAGCCTATGTGGATATTTTTTAAACCCACCTAAGGACCATTTTAAAATTCTTTTGTCATCTTCATCCCCAGAGAAGCAGGGGAAGGACAATAGCAGCCACAATAAACCAGGAACTGGTTAAATGGCAAAGGGATTGAAAGCCAAGAAGGGACCATCCTGCCAGGAGGACAATAGCAAAGGCTACATTAGTAGAGTACCAGCTATCAGATCCCTCTCGGTGTGGAGCATGACTCACTGTTTTTAAAGAAACTATTTCCATCTGAGAAAATGGCTCCTATATTTTATAAAGGCAGCTTTGGTTGAGGAGAGGAAAGGAAAAGTGAAGTGCTACTTTTTCCTAGTTGAGGAGGATCAAACTTTCCTTCAAGCAGCTGAGCAAGGAAATCAGTGCCTTACGTGTTCCCAAGAATAATACAATCCAGTAGTTTTGTGGGGAGGAAAGAAGTCAGAATAAAATAGCATTGCTCTTCCCAGTTGAGCACTCTGAATAATGAGCCTGCAGGCTGGAGGGAGAGCTCCCGAGAGAGGCGCCTGCGTGCCGGAGATGGACACAACAAGTGTCTCACATGGGTCGCTATCTGAAGCGATGTCTCTCTAATTTTCTACATCACTGAGAGCACAGCACAGCACCATCAATCATAGTCAACCTCCCCTCAGAAAGCCACATCCCACCTCGCTGTGCTGTGCTGTGCCCCTGTACTCCTGCCCGTGTGGGGACCGCAGGTGTCCCTGCAGCAGCACTGCAGGCACGGTCCCTCCCAGGGGTTCTCATTCATTGTGTTAGAGCCTGCCTGGGGTTCTGCCTGTCTCCTTCCTCCACCCCCGGTGCCTGCTCCTTGCCAGCACTTCATTTCCAGATGCATCTTCCCCTCCTGGGGTCAGAAAAGGCCAGATGCTCCCTTTATCCCCAGTGAGGAGAAGGTGTGGGCTGCCTTACCTGGGATAAACTCACTGTGTGCTGCCTGGGGGAGGCCTGAGGGTGGGCTTGGTGCTTGTACTGCTCATCTGAGGACGGGGAGGTTGGCCTTTGCAGTTCCCATGGAGCCACCAGGGCATGCTTGGGGCTGGCTTCTTTGCCCCAGCTCTGGGCGCGGAGCAGCTTTCATGCTGTGCTTGTCATGCAATGCAGCAGCTCTTGGTCCCTCATTTCTCTTTTTGTGAACCCCCCTGCTCCTTCCTGGCCTGGCTGTGCTTGTACCAGACCCAGGGGCACTGCTTTGGCAGGAGCAGTGGTGGTGGCTCTTCTCCTGGCCAGGCACACTCCGAGAGTAGCCAGAGGGCTGGTGGGACACAGATCTGTTCCTGTGGCTGCTTCTCTACTGCAGCACAGACATAGCTGGTGGGCTTGCTGCCTCTTGCTTCTTTATCTTTATCACGTGCTAAATTGGCTGCTCTTCCTCAGTTGTGGTGGCTCTTGGACCTACCAAAACCTGGCTGACTTGTTCCTGGTATGATGATACAGAAGTTGTTTGACTCCATGGGCCCAAGCTCCAGCTAGAAAACCAAGGACCGAGCTGCTTTCTTTGAGCACAGCCTTAGAGAGGAGCATTTTCAGAAGAAACTCTTGGAATTGCCACCTCCCTCTCAGCCTCTTCAGTGGTTTCTGCTGAGCATCCTTGACCTCTTTCTCAGGCATGGTTCCTTGCATGTATCAGCCCTGCTCTGGTGTTGTGGAGCTGTTGCTGGCATCTGTAATAGCTGCATTGTTTACTTCCCAAGTGCCTGCCCTTTCTGTAATGAGCTCTAATTCATCCTGCTATGTACAGGGCTCCAGGACACCTGGAGCAAGGAGGGTGTGCCATTAAACCACCTCCTAGGCTGCTACCTGGACCTGGGATTGCTGATTTCCTGGAGATGTAAAACAGGGAGAACAAGGGGGACCAGATGGAAATGGGGAATAATTACCTTGCAGGGTGAAGGGGGCTGGCTGGGTTGGGAACTGCTGGGAGCTGACATGCAGGTGCAGATGGATGGTTACGGCAGGCAGGGCAGAGGGATGAAAGATGCCTTTTTAAAGCATCTGCCTCCCTCTCTTCCTCTGCTTTATAACCTGTTTTTATAGAGACTGCATGAGGAACACATTTTTTTTATTAGCAGCTTGGGAGTGGAGAGTAATAAAGATTAATTTTTTTAAATAATTCTTTGCATTATCTTTTAATTTCCTGTGGCAGGGTTTGACTTTTAAATCTGCAAATGGACTTAACTGCTAATGTGCTCATCAGTTCAGAAGTGGCAGCTGAAGGAGCTGTGTGACTCAGTGAAGGTGGGAGAGGCCCCAGAGTTGAGCCTGGAGTCCCAGGAAAGGCTGTTCCACAGTCTTCCCTGGCCAAAAGGACCCATCCAGGTCCACAGTGTATGTCCATCCCAGCAGACTTGGAGAGATCTAATCCATGCTGCAGCTCATGGTGCCCATTTTGCTTCCTTCCACTGATGGCAATGATCAAGCTCCCATGAGGAGGAAGGAGGGAAGCCTGACGTCCCTGCTGGGCTGCTGTGGGTGGCAGGCCCTTGCTGGCCTCCCCCCAGGATGGTGTGTCCTGCTGGGACCTGTGCTGAGCTGGGATGGTGGGCACGGTGCTGTCCAGGCCAGCTGGACTCCAGGGAAACATGGTTACAGCACTGGGGAGTGACGAAGTGTCAGAGACAAGTGACAACACTGGGGGCCTGATAGGAAAGGCTCCCCTGCCCCACCAATCCACACCATCCATCCCAGCCTCCACGAGCACAGACCAGCTGATGTTCTGCTGGGCTTTAACCTGCTTGGGAGACTGGCTTGCACTGCAGCTGGAGAACCTTCCCTGGCTTGGATGAGCTCTCACGTGCCCTGGAAGTGTACCAGGGTGGCACTGGAGCTGGGGAGAAGTGATGCCTAGCATGCAGATACCCCAGCCCCACCTTACTTTGACCACTGACCACCTCAGAGCTTGTTCTTCATCACACAGCCCTTTGGTTGAGTTTGCTCTGACTTTCTGATCTCCCTGCAGACAGCATGGCCAAGGCAGAGAGCAGCTTTATGGAGAAGCAGCCAGTGTGGACAGCGGCACTCTGGCTCATGCAGGTATGAAAGCAGCTGTAGCTTAAGTGCCCGATGTGGGATTTGGGAAGGCAGAAGGGGAAGCCCAGTGAAGGGGGGGGCACAGCTGGAATGTCAATTGAGCCCTGAAAAGGCTTTAAACTGGATTATATTGCTCCTGTGTTGGAACCAGGACCAGGATGAGAGCCAAGTCCTGCATGGGGAGCACTGTGCCCCAGGCTGCTCCCTCTGCCAGATGCCATCTGGAGCAGGCTCTGTGCATGCCTGGGTGTCTGTGTGCCCTGGCAGCCCTGATGGCCAGCTCTGCTAACCCACAGAGCTCTGCTCCCCCTCCTCCCAGTACTTCTCTGCACACCTGGAAGAGGTAGCAGGGTAGCTGCAGACTCAGCCTGGCCTCACTGCTGCTCCCACAGCTCCCCTTGCTCCTGGGAAGAGGAGAAACCCACCTCAGACCATCCTGAGGTCCATCAGCCCTTGCCAGTCTCCTGTGTTTGTTGGCATTTTGCTGGGCAGGGCTGTTCTGGATGAGGACTGGCTTTGTGGGCACCGTGCAGGGGCTGTGGAAGGTCTGCCTCTGCATCTGTGCGGCTGCCTGGCACCAGGAATCCTGCCTGCAGCAATCAATGTGGTTTGGGTTCCAGTTTTGTACTTTGGCAGCAGGCTGAGCTCTCATCCTGCTGGCCAGGCTTCATCCAGCTGGATCCTCTGGTGTCCAAAGGAATGCCAAAAAGCTTTGGTGCCCGTGGCTGCTGCATGTTTTGGGTGGGAGAGCTTATTCCTCAGCCTTTTGTTTGAATTCTCCATTTATCCAAGGTTTGGACAAAAAACAGACCTTGCCCTCTGCTGGCAGAAGACGACAGAAGTGCTCCTCATCTCAGGAGGGAAACTGAGGCTCAAAGAGCCTGTACCATTGGCACCTCAGTCACACACACATCCTCCCCTCTGTGTACATCTGCCAACCCCTACAGACCAACCTACTGTGAATAACCACAGCTTTGAGTTGTGTTTTTCAGCCAGAAGAAACATCATTTGTTAAATTTTCCAGGTGTCAGGAAAACTGGGAAGACAGCAGAAGCCTCTCCTGTTGTGGTGGGTTCTTCTTTTTTTTTACCTTGTGAAGTCACAGAGAGAAAAATGGAAATAAAAAGCAGCAGGGAGAGAGCTGTTAAAAAGCTTAAAGCTGTCACAAGGTATTGGTTAGTTTATGTGCAGTGAAGTATACAAACAAGTTTTCAGCTTGTTGGTTGGAGCCAAGGAGCAGGGGTTTTTTGTGTGATAAATATGTTTTATAGGTCTTTTATGGGATTTTTTAAAATGCCTGTCCCAATAAATTATTTACCAGGGTAATAAAAGATCAAGGAAATTGTTTCAACCATATCGCTGAGCATCTAAATCCCAAACTTTTACTGGGGTGGAAGGACCCTCTGAATTCCTGTGTCCTTATTAAAGATGGTCCAGATGTGCTGTTTGGCTGTGGTGTCCTTCTGGAGGGCGGGTCCCCAGCCACCCTGACACTCTGTGTATATCCAGGAGGTCCCAGAGGCTTGACACTGGTTTTCCACCCCCTCAGCATCTACTCCTGGGGATGGATAGCATTTCCCTCTACCACTGGCTGCAAATCTCTTGATAATCAGTGACTTTTTATTTAGGTTTCCAAGAGATCTCAGAAGCTTAATGGTTCTTGCTGAGATGAAGTGGGAGTTGGAAATCACTTGGAAAGCAGAGGGGAGCTTAAAGAACATCCATGTGGGATGGGCTGGAAGGGCAGCCATGCCATCCTGCAGGTAGCAGGGGCCTTTTTCCATCTCAGGTGTCTGGGTTTGCTCCTCCTTGCTTGGCATCAGCCTCTGCATGCAGCAAGGGCCAGTTCTGCTGGCTTGGTCTCCGTGGCAGACAAACCCAAAATAGCCTCAGTGCAGGAGAAATAAAAATTGATGCTGTTTCAGCCACAACGTCTACAAATGCCTCTTTTTTGGCATTAAAGTAGGCTTTAAGATATCCAGTCACTCTCTCTCCCTGCTCCTCCCAAGAGGAAGGAGGGGGATGGGGTCCTATCAAAGGTCCCCCTTCAGGACAGGACAAATCCTTTGGCTGAATCCCAGACTTTCTGCAGTAAGTGGGATTAGGTGTAACCCCAGTAGTGTTTAAAAGACATCCAGTTGTTAATGCATTGGCTTTTGTGAGGGCTCTGCTCAGGAAAGGTGCAGCCCTGTGTGATAAGCTGGCCATAAATAAATTTAGATGGGATTTTAAAAGCAATTTTTGATGCTTGAAAGATATCCTTCTGGAGTGGCCTTCAAAAGGACTGGTGGGTGGGAAGAGACAGCCACTGTTTCAAGATAGCTCTCAATATTCATGGGCAGGATTATTCATTCAGCGCCTTTCCAGAGGGGAGAGTCCTTGGGTAGCTGGTGTGCTGAAGCGAGACTGGATTGATCTTTGTTTGTGCTGTCTTTGCCGTATGTTAATCCCTCACTTCAGGGTGTCTGCTGTCCTCTGCAGCGTCCAGGGAGGAATCCTCGTCTCCCTTGGTGCCTGCTTTGGCTCCTGGGTTGGGTGGTGGCCCTGGCTCTCTCTCAGGTGGTGGAGAGTGGCCACAGCTGGAACCACATCTGGGGGCAGGGAGCATTTCCCTGCTCAGCCGACAGGGAGCACAGGGCTTTGTTCGGCTTCCTGCTGGTGCCTGGAGGCTCTGCAGATCTTACAGGTTTCTGAAATAACTCCTCTGCTATTCCGGGGCGCTAGGAAAGTCACAAAGCTCTTTATCATCCTTGATTGCTTCCCCATGCCACATGACAGTGGTGGCTTTTGGGCTTCCCATGGGCTTGTCTGACAGCTTGGGGCATGGCCATGTCTCCAGGTTTAAAGATGTGCTGGGATGGCAATCCTGGGTGGCTGCTGGATATCCTGATCTGCTCTAATCCTGGGGCGAGGACAGGCAGTGAAAAGGGGATCATTCCTCTCATGTGGGAATTGGGCCAGCAGGATTTTGGCCTGTAGCATCTATTCCCTGAGCTGGTGGCTGCCAAAGTTTTGGGGTGTGTTGCCTGCACCCCAGAGCGTGCAGTGCTGGTGCCCACTTCTGTGAGTGAGCTAAGCTGGGGGGAAGGCTGAGGGCTCCAAGCCCAGGAAGCATTAGGGCTTTAGCCTGGGAAAAGTTCAAATGAGCTCTGTGTGCTGTAATGTTTGCTGGGGTCAAGGCCCTGTGGTTTGGCTTTAGGCTGGCAGCTGGGGACCAGGTTTGGATCAGGCTTTTTATCACAGGGAGCAGAGGCTGATGTCTGATGTTTGGCTTTAAAGAAGAAAAAAGGACACATCTCCCCACGTCCCTCTTATTAATTATAAACACATTCTGCTAGTTTGGGAATGGATGCCATAAATTTAAATGAGGGTTGAGCCGGCACGGGGCAGATACAAGAGCCCCAGATGATGTGTGTAGGCCAGGCTTAGCATCTCCTGCTCACTCCAGACTATGCAGCATGACTCCACTGACTTCGGTGGCATTTCCTCCTGGCTCCCTTCCTCATGATGGGAATTGGACTGCACATAATTGAAAAGGATGGGGCGTCTGCCAGCAGACTCTGAGCCACATTCCCCTTGGCAGCCTGAGCTCGCTGGCCGAGGACAAGGGAGACAGGTTGGGGCAGCCACCTGCGCTGGGGGGAGGTGATAAGCATCGCAGGGATCCCAAATCCATCTCCATCTGAAGCTCTCTGGATGTGGCTTCCCGTTGTGAAAGGATTGCCCATGCCCGCAGGGGGGCCGATATCTCCAGCTGCTGGTGCGTGAGCAGTAATTTTCTCTCATTTGTGATCTCCCCTGACATGGCAGCAGGACAGACACGTGAACTGCTGCTCCTCTGAGCAGCTTTCTGAACCAAGGACTTGTGTGGGAACCCAGGGCTTCCCTCTGGCTGCCCTGGAGGGTCTGGGACCCTGGCAGGGGTCAGGAACCCCCCTGGACAGAGCCCCCAGAAACACTGTCTGTGATCTCTGTCCATGGAAAAGAGTTTTCAATCTTACAGGATGAATTACAACCTCTGAGTGTTTGATATAAAGAATAATTAAGTGTGGCACGGGTGCAAAAGTAAAATTTTAGGATTCTAGATTAGGGGTTCAAAGGGGACAAGATGGAGGAAATTGGGTGTGTCTTGTCCTTTTTCTCCTTCTTCATGCCCTCCATGTTTCACTGTAGTGTTGGCATTTTTCTGTTGGTTCAGGCTGGGGACACACTGTCCAACGTAGGTGACAGATATTGGCACGTTATTGTAAATCCAGCACAGGTAGTTTCTGGTATTTAATGTTTGTACCATCCCACTGAGGGCAGAGCCCCACACGCTGCCCTGCAGGACAGAGCTGCGGCAGGGCAGCAGAACATGTTAGAGATAAACAGAATAAACAACCTTGAAACAGCACAGACCAATTATGGCTTCTGCTTTGGCAGCAGGGCAGAAAGACAGAGACTTTCTACAATCTCAGGATCATCAATACCACAGATTCCGACAGACTCGCACTTGAAAGAGTCCTCTGATCCATCTGTCCGCTGCTGACCCCGGGCTGTGCACCAGCACATCTCCCTGCCCGAGCAGCGCTCCGGCAGCCGGGGAGGCAGAAGCTTCTGGCTCTGCATGCTCCTGAACGCCGGCAGAGTTCATCACACACACGGGGCAGGGGGCCTCGGTGCAAGGCCGGTGATCAAGAGACCAGGGTGTGTAAACCCGGCACCTACAAAGCTGCGGGAACAAAGCGGGGCAGGATCTGCGCCTGCTGCCAAGGCAGGGACTGAGCTGTTTGAACCACGGGGTCGGGCAGCCTGCAAGCACCAGCTCCACACTCAGGGCACGGATAAAGGAAAGGTTTCTGACCCCGCACTAATTGCACGGTGAGGTGATGCTGACTGGGCACAGTGCTGCCCAGCGTGGGCTGCAGCACAGGAACACGTCTTGGAACTGTGCTTTGCTTTCAAGTGTGTGTTGTGCCTCACTTGGCTACTAACGACAGAAGCATCCCTGCCACAGAGTCATAGAATCACAGAATATCCCGAGTTGGAAGGGACCCATCAGGATCATTGAGTCCAACTCCTGGCCCTGCACAGGACAACCCAAGTGGAGGCTGGCCACACCAGCAATAGGAGATTCTCTTGGGGAGTACCAGTTCCTACCTCACAGGCCTTTGGTCCAGGCAGGAGAGACAGCCATGGGAGCAGGAAGTGAAATAAAATCCAGCGGCGATGAAATTATTTGGTTTTGTATTCCAGTTATAGCAAGGATTGAGTCAGGAATGACAGCCAGAGCCTGGCCATGATTCCATGATTGCTGGACACAGCCTCCTTAACAACAAATGGCTTTTTTTTTTTTTTTTTTTTTTTTAAAGGGGGTGTTTCTTGCTGTTAATTGTTTTTTTTCTGTTAGTATATTCTGGAAGGGGAAATTCTAGAGAGTGGGTGGTTTTGGGCAGCACGGCACTATTTTAATTTCTCTGTGCTGGCCAACTCAATGGGAGATGGAGCATCTCCTCCACAGCACTGCTGGCTGCTGTCATGCTCCCAGGGCAGCTGCTTCCCTAGGGGAGGAGGGAGCACCAGCAAATCCCAATTTCTGGGTGATTCCAGCCTGCCCTGCCTGGCTTGTGGCTGTGACAGACTTGGACCAGCAAAGTCTCCAGGTGATGAGTGAGCAGACTCCACATTCCTTGGTGGCCCTGCTGCTGTCCAGACCCTCCAAACCTAGACTGGGATCAGGATCCTGATGCTTGGCTTGTGTTGGAGCTTTGTGTGGCCTCAGAGGTGCTGGAGTAAGGGGCAGTTAGAGGGAGAGATGCTTCTTCTAGGAAGCAAAATTAAGTAGAGAAAAGTAGTGGCTGAACATAGCAAGTATGGCAGTTCAGTGTGTTCCCCCATCAGCAAACTGAGTGGGGAACGAGATGGTTTTATGAATAAAACTGTTCTGGGTGTGTCCAGGTCAGACACCTGTCTGGGTCACCACTGTGCACTTATTTATATTTCAGAGGGCACCATCAGGGAAAAAACGAAAAGCCAAAAACCAAACCAAACCAAACCAACCCCAAAAAACCCAGAACAAAACCAAAAACCAAACCAAAACCAAACCAAAACAAAAAAAAACCCCAAAAACCAACAAAAAAACAAAAAAAACCAAAAAAAAACCCCCAAAAAATAATAAAAATTAAGAGCAAAAGTGCTGTGTGTGCCACTCAAGCCCCTCAGTCCATGTCGGCTGTGGTCCAGAAAAGCACTTAGGCTTGTGCAAATGCTTCTCCAGGCAGCAGCGTGCAGTGTCCCTGCCTGGGCCAGGGCAGCAGGGCCTGACCTTGGGGTTTGGGAGCCAGGGAGCCCCTACCTCTCAGCACCCTCATGAGGTGCTCAGCAAGGTAACTCCTCTTGGCCCTTCCTGATCCAGCTGTGTCTGAGGCTGGCCTGGGAAGTTATGGCATCTTTATTTTACTTTGCATACACCTGTGAGGAGTGGATCCCTTCCTGGAAACGAGGACTCACTCCTTCTCACTGGGATGGCTGGAGGCCTGCAGGATATCAGGCAGGACATCTTTTCTCGGACAGACAGGCACTTTGGGGTCTCTGGGATGTTGAAGCAAAGTCCTTGGTCACAAGTCTGGCCTTAGGCCAGTCTCGCTTTCAAGGCTGCACCTGGACAGTTTTGCTTTATAATGACTTTGAGTGTAGTTGCCAACACTGGTGTGTCCGTGGGACTTGCACAAGGCTTCCCTGGGAGCAGCAAATCCCTTTCTTGGTGTTCCTCTCCAGAAACACCCATGTCAGCAGGAGGGTGGGATGGGCTTCTCCCGTGGCTCACTGAAGTCATCCAGAGAACAGAAGGGTGACACGCAGCCCTACAGCTGAGAGCTGGATCTACCAAGGTTGCCACCATGGTAACAAGCGACAGGACAAAAGGAGATGTCTTCAAGTTGCCCTAGGGAAGATTTAGATTGGCTATTGGAAAATAATTTTTTCGCTGAAAGAATGGTTGAGCGTTGGAGCAGCAATGGGGTGAGTCATCATTCTTGGAAGTGTTCAGAAAATGGGTGGATGGGCACTTGGTGGGTTTGGCAGTGCTTAAAGGTCTTTCCCAACGTTAACAATTCCTTGATTCTCTGGTTGCCAGGCTGCCCTGCTCTGCTGTGACAGGGCACGTGGCTGAGGACCACTGTGGAGACTTGTGGATCCCCCCTGTGCCAGCTGCCAGCGTGCAGGGCACCATTCCACCAGCAATCACTTGTGCATTTGCTGTTCTACAAACCTTGGCCAGGTCGTTAACGGAGGAAGGAGATAAAAAAGCAAGGGCTCCAAATGGATCCCAGAGGGATTCCCTGTAGCAATTAGCTTTATACTTGAAAACATATTTCCAGTCTTTACTGCCTGCTCTCTGTGTTTGAAATAATTTTCTACCCAATAAACCTTAGTAGCCCCCAAACATAATTTTAGCAGTGCATTAATTAACAACAAGGTGACCTGGTGGTTCAAAGCTGAGAAAAACCTGATGCATCTCAAGGCAGTAAGGCAGCATTTCCAAGGGGCAGCATGTGGAGGCAGAAGCTTTATTTAGGATATTACCTAAGGCCTGGCTGGCCCCAGGGCAGTCTGGGCTCTCAGGTGCTGACAGGCACCTTCTGCTTTGGATAACCACTCTGGAATTTGAGACTTGCCAAAAGCTCTTTTCTGTTTTTTAATCCTTCATAAAGAATAATGCTGGATATCTGTTAGACTTGGGAAGGTCTCTAAACCTGAATAAAACCATCACTTCCTGGCACCCTGTGGATGGGTGTTTCAGGGCTTGGGCATGTGCAACAGATCCCCTGAGCTGCTGTGCAGCTGCCTGCCCTCCCTGTGATTTCCATCTCTGTGGGCATGAGACAGAGTGAAAATTTAACAGGGTAGAAATTTATTTAGATTTAGGTAAAATGTGCTACTTTGAGCTTGCTAAACATGCAAATTTCCACACTAAAAAATAAAAGATAAGAAAGACTCCTCAGACCTTGAAACAGACAGGGCAGAGTGACCCAAAAGTTCTTTCTGTACTTTCTGACAAAAACTAAGTACAACTAGCTATAAGTATAATATAAAATCAACAAAATAAATATGCATTAACCTATTATAAAATTCTATGCATATAAAAATTAATAAAAATAATTTTAAAATTCAAAAATTCTCAAAAGTACGCATGTCCGTTAAAAAGCAATAAGTCCCGACATTGCGTCCACAACACTATAAATAAACATACCCATTCCCTATAAATCTTTATTAAAATTGTAAAGTTGAATTTTCATCCACATTTCAGGCGCGTGAGTCAGCAGGACCAGCTGAAAATCCCTGGTGATCCTTGCCCGCTGCTCCCTGGGCACCAGTTCACCCTGGAGGGAACACAGGACCTGAGGTGCCTGGCTGCTTCTGGGGGTCCCAGCCATTGAGTCAGAGCTGGTGAAGGCTCCTGGCCTGGAGAAGGCACCAAGTGGAGAGGGCATGTGGATTCACCACACCGTGTGGAGCTGGTGCACCCAGAGCTGGGCTCCTGTGAGCCCAGCTAAGCCAATCCCAGGTCCCTCTGGGATCCTTTTCCATCCAGAGAGTGGGTGAAGGTGAGGGAGGAGGCCGGATCTGCAGATCTGGAGCCTGCTGAGGACTGGTGGAGAACAATGCAATGCCTTCAGCAGGTTTCAGCTGTCTGCCTGGGAGATGACACAGTGTCTGGCCATGACCAAGAGGATGGGGGCCCTGCTGGCTGCCACCAACGTGGAGGCAACCAGAGCAGACTCTGAGCATGTAATCTCCTACTTACCAGGAGATGGGAGAGAGCATTACAGGCTGCTGCCACGACTGGGCTTTACAGCTATCACGGGCTCATCCTGCTTTATCTGTTGCATGTTAAATATCCCATGTAAAGCTACGCAAAGCTGCAAAGCTACCCTAATCCTTCCTAAAGCCAGCCTGCCCTTCCCTGCACATATTACATTAGATATGCTTATTAAACTCACCCAGCTGAAGTTTACTTCCAGACAGTGGTGATAGTCTTGAAATACCATTAGGGTGATAATTATATCGCGTTGTACTTCATCCAGATTTTGGGTGGTAATTGTTCACACATGCTGCCAGCTGTTGAAGCGGTGGTAGATGCAAAGGAAGGTTGTGGCATAGTGGGTGGTGGGATTCCAGCTGGATAATGTGGGAGTGCCAGGCTGGTCAGAGACCCTCCAGGCCACATGTCTTGGGGTGACCAAGGCAGCCACTCTATGGGGTTGGTGATAGGTGGGAGGTTCTCTGTCCTGCCCTTGCACATCAGAGTTGTCCCCATACCTTGGAGATTGAAATGGTGCCATTTAATACCTTCAAAAAGTGCCTAAAATTCTGCTGGAAAACAGAGTGATGCACTTCATGATCAGAGGAGGAGAAATGGAAGGGAAGTCTTTGACATGAGGCTGTTGTGGCTCTTTCTTACTATCCATAGTGTTGTCAAGTCCCTTTGGTTTGACTGGTCTGTGAGAAGTGGCTTGTAAGAGGTAAGAGAGCCACAGATGTCCCTTTGCTCCTGGCTTCTCCACTCAAATGGAAGGTTGCATTAACTTCAGTTATTTCTATGAATCTTACACGGAACTCATTCCCACCAATTCCACATAAATCTTTGGGGGGTAAGAAGCTGCAGTTTGAAATTTAGCAAACGTGCAATAGGTGGTTATTTTGTGATTGAAGTGAACCCTGTTTATCCTGCAGTCAGCTGTAATCCTGCTGCCTATCACTCATCCCACCTGCTCTGCCACAGCCCTGCTGAGATGACTGGTCTCTGGATAAACCCTGGGAACATAGAATGTATTTGCTCCTGGGTTAAAATTGGATTTGGCAGAGATGGAAGTCTCCCCTCACTTTCCCAGTGTCGAGTAGAGCACAACCTGACATCCTGGCTCAGTGGGATTTGGAAGGCTCAAGATTCCCAAGACCTGTTGAGGTGTCTCTCTGGGCTGTAGTGGCCCTTCCAGGGGAGAAATCTGTTCAGATTTTGCATGACACAGGATTGCTCTTGGTGACTTTGCCACTCCCAGCTGGAGAAGGAGGATCCTCTCCCTTCTTTGGCCTGGGGAGATACCAGGGAGTCTGCTAGGCTGCTGGGCAGCTTGGAGAGGGATCCAGGAAGGCCAAGCCAGCAGTGCTTATGGCTGTGGGAAGAGGCAGCACTTCATTCCTGTATTTGGCACTGCTGAGGCACCTCAAATCCTGTGTTCAGTTTTGGGTCTCTACAAGAAAGATTTTGAAGTGCTGAAATGTGTTCAGAGGAGGGCAACAGAGCTGGATAAAGGCTTGTAGGACAATCCTTGTGGCTGAGGGAGCTGGGTGTGGTTATCCTGGAGAAAAGGAGGCTCAGGAGGCACCATGTTGCTCTCTACAACTGCCTGAAAGGAATCACAGAGGTAGTCATAGAGGTAAACAGATGGGCATGGCATGGCCCTGGGCTTCAGCACTGAGCATCCCATCCTCTGCCTTCATCTTCGCACTCCTCTGAACCTCCGGAACTGAAGCTCCTGGCAGACGTGTGCCATCAGTCACGGCTGGGGAGTGATCTGGGTTAGCATGACACTGATGTAAATTTAAAGCCTTCTTTTGCTCTCTCCACTAGCAGCCTTGTATTTTCAGGAAGAAAGAGAATGGGAAACAACTTTTTAAATGAAGTCGAGCATTTAAATTCTCTTTATACTTAGTCCTATCTGGAGCTCTTTACCCAAATGAAGCAGAAAGCATTTACAGCTGTATTTTCCATCACACCAAGCAAGGAATATATTCATTTGCAGTAACATGGCACTCAATGAAGTGGAAAATAAGCTCCCAAAATTGAGCTATGGAACGGTTTCAATGAGTAGGAAAAGCCCACTTGGACTCCACTGACCAGTCACTTTGGTTATGATAAAAATTAATTTGATTGACCACCTGAGCCATGGCAGAAGTGAGGTTGGCTCTGAGATCGCTCTGCTCGGGACTGGGTTCGGGGCTGGCTCCTCTGCCACAGCTCCCACCTGTCCTGCTCATGGCACCATCCCTGGTGCCTCCAAGGGATGGCCATCGGTGGCACACGAATGTCCAGCAGCCAATGTCCCACGTGTCCCCTCCACACGGCTGCAGGAGGGGACAATGCCAGCGCCACGGCAGGCCCCTGGCTGGTGGCAGCCCTGTTGCCCGTGCCCACCATGCACAGACGGGCACGTGGCGGCTCCGAGCAGAGATGGAAGCGGTTCCTCCTTGCCGGTGCCGCAGCCCGCGGAGGACGTGAGCGGAGCGTTAAGCAGGTACCGGCCCAGCGCCAGCCGAGGGTCCGCTAATTGCTTGTGATGTCTCCTCCAGCTCCATCGGCACGAGCAACAATTGCTACTGGAAATGCAATTAATAATTAAGCGCTCAGTGCTGGCAGGTGTCAGCAGGAATCGCGGGGCCTGGCATCCCCCGCCTCGACGCCTCCTCTGCCCGCGCGGGAGAGGCAGCGCCGGGCGGGATGCGGCCCTCGCTGCCTGGATCGATTCTGGGGGGGAGGAAGAGCTGTGCCTTGAGGAAATAACTCGCTGGTGGAATTTCCCCAGCGTGGATGAGGCTGCCTGCTGTGGGCAGCAGGATGAGGACCCAAGGCTGCCGGCCCGGCTGGTGAGAGCTGTGTGTAATCCCGTTATCATCGCAGGGATGCTTCCCAGTGCCATCCATCTTCACCTGAGACGTTCTGTGGGCATTTTCTGGTTTTGCCGTACAGACAGAGTGATTTTGGGTGGAGGTGACTGGCAGCATTTCCCCACGGTGTTGGAGGCTGGGAACATAGCCCCAGAGCTGGCACAGGGTGGCTGGGCTGCAACAGCTGGATGATGGTGTCCTGTCCCAGCCTCAGCTGCCCTGTCCCAGCAGCCGAGGAGGATGGCAAGGAGCAGAGACATCTTAGTGCTGGCTGGAAAAAGCAGCACCCCGATGGATTGAAATGTCTTCCTGAGATGCTACTCTGGCTCAGTGCAGCCTCAGGACCCCCTGTGTCCCCGCTCACAGGCTCTGCCAGCGCTGCTTTCACTTGCAGTGTTGGCTGCTGCTTGTGATGACTTACAGCCTCCTTCAAGCTGGCTTTTATTTTTAATTACATTTTGCCTCTGAAGATGGGCTGCTTTGCTGGTTCATTATTTTTCTCTGCTTTTTTTTTTTTCCCCTTTTTTTATTTTTGCTTGTTCTTTTTTTCTCATTTTCCTTTTAAAGCCCAACAGACTTTTGGCTCCCTGAGAAATAGCTTCACCCTTTAGGAAAGTGCAGAGCCTTTTCCCTGAGTAACAAAATGTTGATTTGCTACCACAGGGCTGAGTGATGGTGATTCCCTTATTAAACTGCACTTAGAGGCAGCGACTGTCAGGCAGGGATGGAGAGCTTCTCCGATAAGTTGGAGCTATTCATTATTAAATTATCTTCATTCACTTGAACATCTCATTTTCATTGAATTAAATGAAAAGTGCTCAAAGGCAGCTGCTGCAGCAGCTTGGAGGCTGCCAGGAGCAGCATGCCAATGTCACTGCTGGCCTTTCCTCCCGCACCAGCCACATCTGACCCTTTCCCACAGATGGATGGGCCTTGTGGCTGGTGTAAATCTCCTGGAGTTGCACCTGCTGGTGGCCTGACCTTGGAGACCTGGATTCACCAGCTCTGAGAGCTGGAGCAAGTGGGGACTGACTCCACCAGGGAATCAGGTAGTGTGGCCCCAGCTGCCTGCCCACTAGCCAGCAGTGACCAAGGTGGGTGTCCCCTGTCCCAGTGTTTTGAAGGGTTTGTGTTTTGCTGGGAGACTGCAGATGGATTTGGTTGAGTTACAGAGGGCTTTGCCCGTGCTCCTGCTGCCCCCTCCCCTCCTGGGACTCCCACCTCAGGGCAGCCACCCGCCGTGTCAGGCTGGCTGCAGCCCTCGATGGCAGATGAGCTGTTTTGTGTCCCGGGGTTGTTTTTGGGGGAGGATGCCATCTGGCTGCCTGATCTCTCTGCTTTCACCTTGGCACGAGCACCTGGCTCCCAGCCCCATGGCTCGGCACCGAACCAGGGGCTGCTGGCTGGGCCTGCCAGCCCATTGCTCTCCAAGGCACTCTGTGGAGTCTAAGCTGCTTTAAGGCTGGCCCCCAGGAATGGGGGCTTTTGTCTCAAGGCCAAGACCATGGACATGGCACGCCGTGCCCAGGTGCTACTCATCACTGTCCCAGCTGTATGTAAAGTTGCATCTTCCCCCAGGAGAGCTCAGAATTAGGATATCTGGCTGCTGCTCAATCCCAAATCCCTTGGGAGCAGGCAGCACCCCTCTCTCCTGTGACAGCCTACAGTCTCAGCAGGCAGTGAAAACCCCTTTGCCACACTGCCCTGAGTGCTGTGAAGTTTTTCTCGCCTGCTGCCCACCACTACCATCTTCCTCCTGGCAAGGAACTGCTGGCCCTTGGAGCAGCTCCTCAACAACTGCTGCTTTTCCTTGCCAGCGAATCTCGCCCGGAGAAGCCGCTTTGATCAATGCACTTGGATTTCAGCCTTCAGCCTTGATCAAGGCAGGAGGAGGGACGGGAGAGAGGAGCACTCGCGGGCTCTTTGGGGACGGGCTGGGAAGCGAAGCTGCTTCTCCAAGAAAAGCCTGCTTCAAAGTAAGAGGCGGTGCTGCCAGAATAAGAGTGAACCAGGCGGGCAGAGGAGGAGGAGGAGGAAGGCTGCTGGGTGCCAGAACTCCAGCTAGGATGGGGCAGGTGTGAGTCCAGCAAGGAATGGTGATGATGGCATTACTGTGAGGCTGGAGCAGCTTCTGGGACGGGGCAGGAAACCAGGTGCAGTGAAGGGGGGGGATCTATGCTTCCCCCTGTGCTTAATTCTGTACCAGACCTGTTTTTCTGTGCTCATTAGCTTTTTCAGCTCTCCAAACCTCCCCAGCCCTGGGGAGCTGGCACCGAGAAAGTTTTTAGAGCTGAAAAGGGGCTGCATTTTCTTCTTTGGATCACTGGTTTCCTACCAGTCTTTAACTGGTGGGGATGGCGCTGCAGGTCAGGTGTTCTGGACCTGGGACAGGAGCAGGAGGGACAGAGCATCCCTTCCTTGCCAGCTTGGTCTGGCTGTTTCAGCTGTAAGGGCTTTGTGTTGTATGAAGGGATGCATAAAGCAGTGCTCGAGGTTTGATCAGATCAGAACTTCTGGTTAATGGTAGTTAATATCCAGGAGGAGACCTCCTCGGCCTTTCTGGCTTTTCTCCCCACATCAGTGCCAGGGAATTCTGTGTCAACAGCTCTGGAAGGCATGGACAATTCCTTTGTGTGTTGCATTACCTGGAAGAGGAACAAGAACCAAGCAGAGATGCAAAACCTGGAGGTCCCCACGAGCAGGGAAAGTCTCTGGCCAGAAACCACCCTCTGACACCAACCTGCTCCAGCAATCCTCATCCTCCTCTCTCCTGCTCCCTCTCTACCACTGCTGCCTTCCTCAGGTGCTCACACATGCACCTCTTGCTTTTCCTTTCAGCTACAGATGGCAGGCAGGAAAACCAGCCAGCCAGATGTGTTTTTCATAGCTCCCAAGCCAGGCATAACTAAACATTTACATTTATTACCAATTAGAGGGGAAACAGACTGTAGTTTTATGTACTGTATGTGTCTGGATATATTTCAGTTTGTGACCTTACTACACCCCCAGCAACTAAATCTCTCTTGGTTAGGGGCAAAACCCTGGAAAGCATTGGGGTCCCATCCCAGCATCCCATCACCCATCGCCAAAATGTGACTGGATGATGTGGATCCCACCACTTTGTAAGAAAGCCTGCACAGGGTTTGCTCCTGGGTGAGGTTGCACATCCCTAGGGATGCCCCAGAGGCATTTCCATGGAGGAGCCCATATCCATGAAGTCCATGTGTGGATGTGACCACTGAGCAGCTGTCAATGGGTGGCTCAGGAGTGCCCAGAGCCTGCAGGTCCTGAGCCAACATCACGGCGGGTCTTTAATGATGTGTGAGCCAAAACACAAATAAATCCATAACCAGACGCTGAGCCTTGCTGAGAGCTGGGGAAGGAAGCAGAGGATGAATGTGCATGGTGGTAGGGATGTCCCAGCCTTTACCAGGAGGGTCACTAAGGGACTGATGTCCTAACAAAGTCCAGATCCTGGCTGGCAGGGGTCCAGCCCCGAGGTGGTCCCGGTGCCACTGCAATCTGCTCACCTCTGTGAGGCCAGCACTTGAACCTGAGCTGTTTGAGACATAAGGGCTCAGGACAGGGTCTGCATGAGCCCATCAGGCCTTGGGAAGGCCAATGGATGTCCAGCCAGGTGGAAATGAGGATTTAATGGTTCTGTGGGGATACTGGGTTTGCTGTACTGGGTCAATCACTCTTGATTCTGCCTCTGAGCAATGGTTAAGCTGCTAAGAAAATAATCTCAATCTCCTTCTTCAGGTCACCATCCTCTTGGCAAGGGAGGAAGGAGAAATGTGGTGAGGCCAGGGGATGTTGGACAACAGTGTTTTTAAACCAGGCTGTCCCACATCCAGCCCGGTTCTGGGAATGTGCCCCCCAACACCACCCCACAGCCACACTGTTGGGATGTGGGGTGCTGCAGGCACTGACCCTGCTCAGCCTTCCCATGCCTCCCCTATCCTCCCTGCTCCCAGCAGGTCCCACAGCCATCTGTTCATGCAGCAACATCCCAATTCCTTCCTTGCTTCCAATTTTTGCCCCTCGGTGTGCCTGGAACCCTCTGGCAATCATGCCCAAAGCTCACCTCTGGCTGTGCCCCCTGGATCCCTGTGCCCACCTCTGCTGCTGCTCAGGCAACAGCCTCTGGGTTGGATGCAGGGCTGTGTTTCCCTCTCTTTCCAGGGTGCTGCTGCTGGGGAAGCAGCCCAGACACAAAAACCACGGGCAGTGCTGTGCAGTGCTTGTGTGCATCCCTCTGGGCGTGCTGGGGGGAATTATTCCATCACGGGCAGCTTCAGAAATGCAATATTTTATTAGAAGCCCATTAAACTGTTCAAACAAGTGATTAGGAGAGGGGAGGAGAGGGGAGATGATGCAAATTGAAGCAAGGTGGGGGTGGACTTCCACCTGAGCAGGGAAGTGGATTTGTACCTGAGCAGGGAGAGCTGTGGGGTGGATTTGCACCTGAGCAGGGAGAGCTGTGGCTGGAGGGCTGAGGTCAGTTCTGCAAGGCCAAGATAAGGAAAGAATAAAGCTGAGAGACTTGAAGGGGATGAGGGTGGAATGAAGGGCTGCAGTATTTTGGCAGAGCTATTGGAGAGTGCCCTGGGGTGGAAATGGTAGAAATGATCCACCCCAGCCTCAGCCCACGGAGGACTGTGTGGACATGCCTATCCCATGGAAGGCAGCATCCTGCCTTCATTTGGATGGGAAGCACTAGGTACAGGATAAATCAAGGGTGTTACAAACCTTTGGGTCCCTCTAGAAAGGAACAACACAGGGAAAAGGCACGTGGGGAACCTTTGTCCGGCAAGGGCAGGAGAGGAGCGAGATGGGAGGTGCAGGATCTACTGCTCCATACATGATTTTTTTTCCCATTATTCTGCTGATCAGCAAAAGCAAGAGACAGTTTAATCCAACAGGAGAGTTGGATTTAAGATTAAAGAAATAATACTTTTTTTTTTCCTCCTCTTCTGTAACTGTGTTGGAGTGACAGGGTGGGGAGCTCTTGGCAGCTGGGATATTAAATGTTTTTCCACATGGTCTCTTGATTATTAATGGATTTTAGTACTTGACAAAGCAGAAATTAGGAGATAAAAGCTATTAGAAACTAATTTGGGTAATGACTGATTCTGTTCCCCCAGGAGCCTTTCTGAGAGTGTTGCTCCCAACACCACTGCCAAGTCTCAGGAGAGAAGGAATCTCTTTTCAGCAGTTCCGTGGACTTTGGAAGAGCCCCCTGATCTATGGCCAATGAGGAGGTGACTTGAATGGAGCCAGCCTGATCCAAACAGCACTCTTCTCCCAGCAGCCTCCTGGGATTTATAGGATTTCACATCCCTGCACACTGTTTGGAGTGGTTTATATGCCACATTTTTTTACTGTTATGTTGGTGAAACAACCACAGAAACTAGCTCGGGAAAACAAGGTGGGAGATAAATCCTTGTGGCGTGGGCTCTCCCAGCGATAAAATGGGCTACAGGTGGAGAAATAGGCCCTTGAGACCCTTTATTTCCTTCAGTTCCCATCTTCCTGAGTGGATCAATACCTCCAGGGGCAAGGAAAGGGTGAGGAACCATTGCAGGGAATCACTTGAAGGGAGAAGCTGGAAGGTGGTAGCTGATGTAGCAACCACTGCTGATTTTTGAGGCAGATGGGCCGGGAGGGTTTGTGTATCCCAGGAGGGTTTGTGTACAGAGAAGAGGATGCCTGTAGGCTGGGAGAGCTTTTTTAAAAATAGTGTGACTGATTTTTCTCCTTCTTTCTTCCCATCCAGTCAGTC